TGTAGGAGTTCAAACTAGCCTCACTGCATTCAGTGCAGTAACATTGTATTTTCAGTGATGGCAGGGTGACAGGGGGAAACTGTGGTTAGAGCAGCACTGAGTACCACAGAGATACTCACAGCGACTGCTCTTTGAAACCAGCTTCTTGTTTTCAATTAGCATCTGGTTTTCTTAAAGAACGAGCGACAAGGCTGAGTGAGGAGGCGATGTCATCACATTTGAGACATGAGCGATGAGCGTGATGGTATGTTTCAGATGTGCGTGTCGTTGAAGGCAAAAGCTGTGCGTCTGTTTTTGTTACTGTGTGAAAATCTCTGTGTAACAGCAAGAACAAGGGTGTGTGTGTGTGTGTAAAACATGGCTGTGGGGTGGAAATATATGTGTCTGTTTTAAATTGACATGGGAGACTAGATGTGTTTTCTGTTTCACTGGTAAAAAAAAAATGCATGACATGAGATGAAAGAGAAAATTGACCAAAAGCTAAAAGGATGTTAGCATTTCCTTAGAATTGTCTTTTCTCTGCACTGTCAAAAATCCCTTCCAATGTCTAATCCTAAAACTTCAACTAGTGGAGGTTATCTTCTGACGTATACGCCTGACTAGTGTGAATTTGGGGTCTGTGTTCTGCATGGTTGCCTCACAGCAAGAGGGTCAAAGGTTACTATCCCAGCCTGGACAGATGGACTTTCTTTGTGCAGGTGCTTTGGATTTGGATTGTGGTCGACATGAGGTGTGACTGTCTTATTAAATAATTGTAATTTATATAATTGTAAAAGTCACCAGGTAGTTAAATGTGATTTATTTAAAGGCATGAACCTTATACCATCTGGGTCATGAAGGTAAAGAAATTCCTCTATTACAGACATTTCCACCACAGAGAGGGTTTTGCTAAAAGCAATGTTGCAGTGATTACTGCACAGCTGAAAGCTATTGAAGTGAAGCGAAGAGGAGAGAGGTGGGTTAGCTCTGGGGGCTGGGGGGTCTGGGAGGGCAAGGGGGGTATACGGACACTGGAAAGGAAAGAATGGTGATTGTATAGTGGGAAAAACAAGAACACAAGAAAGTGTGGGATCAATAAAGTTATTATTATTATTATTATTAAAAGGAAATGAATGGTAATGTTTTCATCAAGGTTACTACAAATGGTTTTACATGTCTCCTAGTGTCCTTTAATAGGAAAATTCTAAATGACTACACACACACACACACACACACACCGTGGCCTAAAGTTAACGTTAGCTCTGGAGTCTATGTTCGTGGCAACTGGTGATACTGTACACTGTAGTGCTGCAGTGATGTCCAAGCTAATGTCAGCAAGTGTAAAAAAAACAGAAAGTAGTTTCCACTAACCAGGCCAAACAACGTTGTGTCCCAGGTCACTCACTGCGTCCAAGGATCACTGCAGTCACACAACAAAACAAAATAAAACAATAATGTCTTTTGCATGTGGTAGAACACATTATTAAGCATAACGATTCAACATCAGCACCTGCGTCGACTGTGCTGCACCTCTCATCATCTTCGGGAAGTTTAATAAAAAACAACTTCTTCTGCCCCACTAGCTAAAATATGTGGTCTCGTCTTCCACCGGGTTTTCTTGTGTGCTGACTTCACTTAATATATCCTATGCATTACTTTGTTGTCTGTAAGAAGTACCAGAAATACCAGTACCAGTAATCCGGAGTACAAGGACCTGAGAATGCTCCATTAAGGTGTTACAACAGTCCAAATGTATTTATTTATTTAAATGGCATCTTCTGTATGGAGTCCTCACTCCTGGCGCCAGTAGAAGCTCTGTGTAATAAACAATGACCAAACACATGGCACAGTGTAAAGAACACTTGAGTGTGTTAACTTTGGTGTTGGCAGCCTTGCGACTCAAGTGGAATTATTTTTTTTTATAATGAGAAAATGAGACTGACTCGGAACTGATGTTGGAGAGGAAATTTGTGAGCAGCAGAGGAGAACTGTAGTCGAGTGATAATTTCCTGACTGAGGTCACTACAGGCAATCACATGCTGATTCCATGTATTGATGATGGGTGATTTAAAAATGCTGATTGGCAGACTCCAAATAAAGGAAGAGCAGTTTGAGGTCAGGCTTCATGGTTTCTGTTCTGATGTTGTGGAGACGGTGACTGTATCTGATTAAGCTTTGGTTACACAGACTGCAACTCTGTTGGACTGTTATGACAGTTCACCACATGATAGGAAACTCTCTAGATGGACTGTTTTTGTTCTCCTCTAATGCTTCATAAGGCATTCGGAGGTAAAACACAGCAGAAGGTCAATGCTCACTTCATCACCGTGGCAACAAGACCTGCGTTCAGCTCTGCTGCACTTGACTTTAAGAGTGAAGGATGGACTTAATGGACGTGAATGCAAACACACTGTGGTGGGTTCAAGGTGTAGCAGGAGACACTGGGCTGTTGATGACCAAACAAATATGACAGATGATGTTAGGGTGAAAGTTCCTAATACAACCTGATGGATGACTGCTTTGTAAAAAAAAGTCTGAATTTCGGGGAGGGTGGTCTTCGATACAACGTGCGGAGGACTGGTCTACGAACTAAAACTGAGGTTCTTTCAAATGTTCTTTCAGTTTGGAAAAATATCAGATGGACTTTGCTCAGGACCCGTTCCAAAGCTTTTAAATTGTCCATTTTGCAAAGATTTGAAAAAAACCTGATCAAATACCTCTCAATATTGACAAGGCAGTAATGATAAAACTCCAGTCAAAGCAACTGGAAACACCTGGGAGACCTATCTTAACATACTGAGATTAAAATCCAACACCTTTGTAGATGAAAACATCTTTTTGACCAACCCTCATAACTCAAATCCTCTCTCTCTCCATTTAGGTGACGTAAAAGTGTCTCTTACCCTACTGAGTTTGTCTTTCCACGGTTTTAGAGAAAGTTCCCTCTTGTGACCAGGAGAGACAGAGTGCCTTGGACGAGGATCAGCAGAGCCCTCGTGAAGCCATCTTCATCCCAGACTGTGGACCCGGAGGCCTGTACAAACCGGTCCAATGCCACCAGTCCACAGGCTACTGTTGGTGTGTTTTAGTCGACACAGGACGACCAATTCCTGGAACCTCTACAAGGTGATGTAACTGTGATAATAGTCAAAAATTACATTTCTCGTATACACTATGCCCTGTTTGTAAAAAATCATTGGAAAACAGTTTCTGTGGAAACAAACAATCAGCGTTTGGTTTGACATTTGTTTCCAGTGTAATTGCTACTGTTTATGCTGCCTTTGAGAAAATGCCTAAAAACATTAGTTACTGGAAAGAGTTGTGCGACACAGGGCTGAAACAGCAGCAGCAAAGAAAAGGTTAAATAAATAGTGAACATTTCTAATGTTCCACTTGTTTATTAAAGTTGTTTTTTTTTCTTGTTTCTGGAACGGGCAAATAAAAAAAGGAAAGCGACAAGAAATGTTCGAGAATATGCATGAAAGTAATCGTTCTTTCCTTTTTAGAAAAAATTTAGAAAACAAAACAAATTACTTGGCTGAATTTCTTTGATTATTAACTTAAAATTATGACTTTTAGGTTTTAAAAACCAATCTGACATGATTGATGATGCCCATAAATCCCCACTAAAGGAATCACACAGTTATGGGTTAAACCAGCAGTGTGACTTCTCATCAGTGTATCTGAGGTATTTATCCTCCAGGCTGTTGTTTCTTCATGTAAAGATTTATTGCATTTAAAGAAAAGAAAAGACCCCATGCTGCTCTTCCTCGGTATATTTTTTCTGCTCGGACAGCAGCATGCAGAGTCATGTAACAGACATCACATACTGGATCATCGGCCATGAAGACGGAGAAAGAAAAAAAAACAAAAAAAAAACCCTGCTTGCTTTTGCTCTGAGGAAAAGGGTGGAAAACAGCCAAATGAGAGACACATGCTAAATTTTCCAGGAAACATTGATCCAATAGCCAGGAGGAAGCGAGTCATGCCATGCATGATGCTGAAAGCGAGCTGTACGTGCGTCAGACACATATTAAACGTTCGTGATGAAGATAAGATTGTCATTCTAAATATGTCTGTACACATCACGGCTGACACCACGTCTAAGTCTGAGTGTTAGAGCCATGGATGGCTATAGATTCTTCAGAAACTAACATGTCTTCTGGTTTCATTATCACGGCTGACAGAAAACCAGGACAAAAAGGAGGAACAACACAATCTGTGGGGTTTTTGTTTTGTTCTACTCTGAGTCAGAACCTGATTGATATTCTTTATTTCCTGAGCTGGCATAAATTAAAATTCAACTTAGACTGAAAAGTTCCTGAGAGTGTTTCAGATTTTTCACACATTGTTTAGACAGGTTTACTCTTTCTTTTTCTGCTCCCATGCTCTCATGTTTCCATCTCATGCAGCCACGTTCCTGTTGTCTTTTCCTCTTTTCCTAACAGGTACCAGAAGCCGGAATGTGACGGCACTGCACGATATCGTGGTTCGGATTTAGAAGATCCCTTCCAGGGCAGAGACCTGACAGGTTGGATCTCCTCCGGGTTTATGGTTTACCAAAAATGTCCCTGCATTTGTAATCCAAACATATTTTAACTGTTTGTAAAACCACTCTAGCTTTCAGTAAATGTTGTTACTTCAGTCTTCTAACTGGACTGTTTCAACTCATACTGGGATTTCTGGTGGATTAGAAGAGAGTAAACAAAAAAGGATTTCTTTTTTTTTATGACCCAGTATTAACTGGTTTTACCTTCACCAGCATATTGAGAAAACAAATGTTATGATACCATTATCATAACATATGAGGTATTATTCAATGTACGTTTTTACATAGTATAAATTAGAGTAAGTAACGTTACCCTGTACAGCTGCTCTGCACCAGTGTCTTCCATTCATTTTTTCGACAACCACCATAATCCCATTCCATGCCAGTGAGAGTCCCTGCTGTCTGTGTGCTGTCAAAACATCCATAAACCTTTTACTGTCCTCATAAGTCACTGCAGAGCAACAAGTTTCCCTTTTAACTGTGTATTATGAAGGGCATTAGTGTCCCAGCAAGAAATACTGCTATCACCGATGAAGGGTTGGGCTGGAGTATACAGTAAATCTAGTTCACAGTGAGGACCAGTGGTGCCAACATCACCAAAGTCTCGACGGAGTCAAGACCACAACCTTCGGTAACGATCATAAGGATCCAGATTCAAGTAATGAAAAGCCAAAAAAAAAAAAACTATCAAAATCTATGTAGTGTACATTTCTCAGCAAAACTAAACAGTCCAACATAAAACCAATCAACCAAAAGGGTTTCCAACCATCACAGGGAGTTATGTTGGCCTTCCTGTTGGTGAAACATCGGTTTTTTGTTCCATTTTTCTTCTTATCTGTTCAGGCTGCTCCAGAACTGCAGTGGCTCAAGATGGTGGCAGCCAGATAATCTAGATTAGGAGTTTTGTGAGCTGTTCTCTCACTGTGGGGGGAAAGAGCTCTTCAGGGGAGATGTAACATGGAAAAAAAAGAAGGACAGGTGTTGTGTCTGACAACACGGAGGCAGGAAACTGAGGAGCACAGTTTTCTTTCTCCTTTCAAACGTAAACCCCTCATCACAGATGCCAGTATCTCAACACTTGGTCACATGCAGATACTTCACATTAAAACCATATAAATCCCTATTTCCTGTATTGGTGCAGAAATAGTTGTTGCAAGTAAACTGGGCAACTTGTATGAGAAGGGACAGATTTGGTCCACGTATAAGTAAACTGGGCAACTTGTACGAGAAGGGACAAATTTGGTCCACGTACGGTGAGAAAGGACTCCAGTCAATCCTACGGCTGTGGATCGAGTCTACAAAGAAGGAAGAGCATTACTAATTCAGCCAAGTAGAGCGAGCATGCAGAGAATTTTGATGACCACATGGTGCTGTTGGAACCCCCCCCCCCCCCCAGCACTAATCAGGGGTTCACCTCTAAACTGGAGGTGGTAACCTCTGCTTTTGCACTGGTTCCTGCTCTCATGCTCTAGTAGCGCCTTGGTTTCCCCCATCATCCAAGTCTTGCACTGTAACTCTAATTTAAGCCCCATCTGGGGACTTTACAGAATCAAGCTCCACTCCTGACTGTGCAGCAGATGTGTGGCATGTGTTCAAGGTGTGAGTGTTGAGAGGTGCAGCGGTGAGGCTGTGGGAGCTGCTGGTTGGTGGTAGAGGTGGTGACTGTGGACTGCTGAGTGAATATATACTTTTATGTGCTGTGAAGCGATGTTTTCAACCGCCACGACAAAGCACAATGTGTCATTAGCACCACATCAAGGTCGAAGGAAAAAAAGACCGGGTGAGAGGGAAGTTAGTTAACAGTTGAGCACAGTTCTGTCAGCAGACGTCCATGAGAGGTAACATCATAAACTGTTTTACTTCCCAAAAATTAAACTAATAAATAACAGAACAAATGTTGCCAAAGGTTTAAGTCCATTCTGGTTTTAATGCGTTGTTTTCATCTTTCCTCCATTTATATCAACCTCATTAATTGCCTAATTGTCCACATGAACAGATTTAACTGGCTGATTTGTATCACAGATGAGATAGGAGGGCAAGAGGGCGCTGATTTCTTTGCCGTAGAAAATGGAAAAGCTGTGCCTGTGAAATTGATACACTTGACAAAGTTTAACAAAGATCTGGCTCTGGGTTAAGCTTTTAGGTAACGCTGATCACTGGTACACCCAGAACAAGTTCTGACTCTAAGTGGTCTTACTTCACCACCTGCCCCTGAAACATCGACTCCAAACAGCACAGCTGTGCCTTATAACATGTCACTCTAAGAGCTGGCTTAAATCACAGCTAGACGATACCCATCTGAGTTTGTCAAATCGTACCAAACGTTAATTGTATTCACATGACAAGGCAATAATCAACAATGATTAAACAGCATTAAAGGTGTTAAATAATCGTGGAGAAGAAGAAGAAGAAAGAGGTTGATTAAGTGGTTGATGGCGAGGCTTTTAAAGGACAGGATGAGATGATTAGTTCACTGTGCAGCTGAGTTTGAAGTTTACCCTTAACAGACACAATTAGGAGGGTACATTTTGCACAGGGTTTGCACTATTATAATCTTACATCTGGGCCGTTAAAGAGAGCTACCCAAGGTGTTCAGAATTGTGTCATAAAAGTTAACAGGTCTGCACAGCTTTACAAAGCCGTTTCGTCACCAAACCGTGAATTCAAACCTGGGCTGGAAGGACATCCATAAAACAAACGCGAACATTTTACAGACTGACCAGTGCTTGTGGTTGCTTTTTTCAATGAGATTTGCATGCTACCCTTCAGTGGTCAGCAGCTGCAGGGGCACGGCGGCCTCTCTGCTCCTTAATGACTCAAATTAGTCGTGGAAGGTAATTCTGCTGTATTTCTTGTTCTTGATTTGTGCCAGGTTGCCCGGAAGGGAAAAAAGTGGAATTCATTACAAGCTTGTTAGACGCTCTAACTACAGACATGGTGCAGGCCATAAACTCACCAGCCCCATCTGGTGGTGGGAGGTAAGTTTCATTTCAGTATGACAAATAAACGCAAGGCAAATGGAGAATTCTAGGATAAATAATTCTGGGTAACTACTTCCTCTACTATTTTACTTTCGTTCACAAATTATTTTTTTAACTACAAACCGTATGTGTACCAAGAGTTTTGGAAATCTAATCACTATAGAGTTTTGTACAGTAAATTTAGTCCATTCCAACTTATCCTTCTCAATGATACTGGAGTTGTCTAATCCAACTGTTCCTCTGACATTCACCAGGTTCGTCGAGCCTGACCCCAGTCATACTTTGGAAGAGAGGGTGGTGCATTGGTATTTCTCCAAGCTGGACAACAACGGCAGCCAAGACATAAACAAGAAGGAGCTTAAACCTTTCAAGAAGTACCTAAAGAAGAAAGCCAAACCCAAGAAGTGCTCCCGCAAGTTCATCGACTACTGTGACCTGAACAAAGACAGAGCCATTTCTCTGCATGAGCTGAAAGGCTGCTTGGGCGTCAGCAAGGAAGGTCAGAGAAGATGAGGAAACGTGAGGGACTTCTGAAAAAGAAGTGGGAGGGATGGATGGATGTTTAGATGGATGGATGAAAGGATAAACAGATAAGTAGGATGAACTGATGGATGGCTGAGGGACAGATGATGTTTGGTTAAACTGAAGGATGGATGATGTTTAGATGGATGAAAGGAAAGATGCATACTAAACAACATGGATGGATGATGTTTAGATGGATGAAAGATGCATACTAAACAACAATGGATGGAATGGATAATGATGGTGGATGGAGGGACAGAGGGCTGGTTGAAGATGACTGCTAAATGGATATATGGGTGGATTAATGATCGGATGGATGGATGGATGGATTCACATGATAATCTTCTGTCAATAAACAAATAATCATTTTTAGGAGGTGATCACGCAGATCCTGCAGTGATTTTGCTTCTTTAAAGCTTAAAGTTTGAACATATGAAGGAATCAAATGTAAAAGGCACATAAATCAAAATGGTACTTGTCTAGGTGATGATCATTTTTCCATGTGACACAGAGCACATTTACAACCATATGAAATTTTCACTTTTAATATTCTCCTCGAGTTGGAATAAAAAAACATTTAGTCACAGTCATTTGCAGAGAGTGATGATGTAACTGCGCTAACGTGACAAACAGATGTGTTGGCAGGCGCACTAAGGTGAACTGCTCCACTCCACTATTATTCAGACCTGACTAATGCATTTGTCGATGCTGGGCACAGCCTGGAGCAGAAAACTATCAATTCATCATCGTCACTACCTCTGACTCTGCCTCCAATACAGACCTCTAAAAACAAAGGGGTGTTTTTCAGAGGTCTAGAGGCCGTTGAACAGGCTGCTGTTGGTTACATAACATTCAACAGGCAGCAAAGAGAAAAAGAGGACACTCACCAACAGTTTTTATCATACAAAGGTTTTTGCTGTAAATTGGCGGTTTTGTCTTGGATCCATACATTACAGGTTTGCTACAATCGCACAGCGATAGACACCAGAACTAGCTTCTGTACAATGTTATTCATCAGAAGTTCATTGTAACTTCAGTTAGACACATCAGTAGTATTGGATATTCCTGTTCCACAGGTCCAACAGTGCATTTAGAAAAGTATTATTAATCAGTATTAACCTCAGATATGTAGTCAACTGCTTTAATTTTAAAATACGAATTAATTAAAAGACTGTTTGTCTTTTGCAGGGAGCTCAACAACAAGTGACAACCAAGGGACGAGGCAAGCGACGAATTTGTTCAGTAAGGCAAACTAATTTTCTACTACTGACTACTTCCCTGTAACAGTCACGGTGACGAATTTGTTCAGTAAGGCAAACTAATGACTACTACTACTGACTACTTCCCTGTATCAGGCTCAATCACTGTTTATTTTACCACACCACACACGCACATACATCAGACATACTTCAGACATCAATCTTTAAAATGTGTTAACAAAGATGTATGTTTCTTTGTGGTTTACTTTTCTGAGTAGGGCTGTTGTATTTCATCTGAATGTTCATGTACGTTCATGCTTTTAAAAGACAACATTGCAGTATGATGGGATTGAAATGTAGAGGATTTTGTAGAAGTCAAAAAACACTGATCAAAACGTCTCAAACTCAAAAAAGCTGTTGGCCTCAGCTTCCAGTGTCATTTGGAGGGCCAAAAACCCAGCAAGGGCCAACAGAATACATTATAATTGACATGTAGTAGTGGGACACATGTGGTTGGTTTGATATAGACTACAACATCAACTTTGTTCTAACTTTTTGAGAAGTGACAGCTCTCCAGTACATCTCTGCTGCTGCTCTGTCTCGGTGATTCCAGGTTCTTACATTTCCATCTGTCACGGCCCCTTACATCCCCACTCACTGACTGATCACTGGTCCCACTGATGCTGTTGACTCAGGCCAGTGGTGTTTTTAGTGCCACTGAGAACTGAGGTCATGTGTTTACCCTGGCGCTTCCCTGCTGTGCCTTGAGAACAGTGGCTCAGAGCGGGCATAACGTCAGCCCCCTCGGACACTGGCACAGCTGCCAGGATAAACAGCTCTGGAATTGGAGTAGCAGACAAGACAGAGTCTGGGCCAGTAGCTGCAGTCACTAAACCTGTCACCTTCATGGTTAGGCGTTAGATTTAAGGGACACGGCAGGTTTATGTGCTACCCTTAGGTTCTCTAGGTACAAGTGATGACTACGGAGAAGAACATGTAAATAAGAAATGAGAGGGAGAAAGAGCACTGGCATCTGGAAACAGAATGTGTGTACTGTATATGGCGACATATGGCAGCGTCTAGCAGGACTGAGAGAGAAGTACGATGTTTCAGGTATCTGGATTCTGTTGAGTTCCATTTCATTGGAGAAAATCCTTTTGAGTTCCGTGGCCATCTCAGGGCATATAGGACTAACTGTATGCACCTTTAAGTCAAAGGTTGTAAGTACAAGCGGAAGTGTGCATGTGGCCCCTGGTGCTGGGAATAGAAAACATGTGAATACCTTTAGTAGGATGTGAGTCGCCGGGATGGTGGCATCCTTCGAAAATACAGACTGGAAACGCCATTGTTATTAAATCTCCAGGCATTGATATCTCAGACACTGTGGGGACGTGGCTGGACAGCAGCTGTGGTTCTTCACTGGGTTCCAGTACTTGGTCCCTAGGGTCAGAAAAAGAAAAATTAATTTGATAATTCCAAATCTGAATAGGTGTTGAATAAGGTTTTCCTGAATACATTTTTAATAAACAAACAAAAGAATCACTTTTTCTTGACATTTTTCCATATCAGTCCAATACAACTACCTGCTGTTATTTGTGTTTTCCAGCAATTGACAGGAAATACAGTTTTTGTTCGACGGGCCATTTTGATAAACAATTTCTTTTTTCAAGAATGATTTTTCAATTGCTAATGGAAAAATTGTTGATGTGCCATGAATTTGTAATACTTAGCAGAAGAGATCATTTGAAGCTTTTAAATGACTAAGACGTTATATAGTAAATTATACACACACATTGCCATTACTATCAACCCAACATTATTAAACACCAATTAGTATGAAGGATGGTTCAGAACGTTGCCATTTAGTCACTCAAAGTAAACACATGGAAGTTTATTTAACAAGTCAGATGCTGTTATACACCACGGCTGCTGTGAGGAAAACAGATGTGGTTCGCAGTAATGCTTCTTCTGTCCTGTCCACTGTTTAATGTCAAACTGTTCTCTTTCACTTCTGTCCTGCTCTTCGTTCTCCCTATTCTGTTTGTCCTGGCGACATTTGTCATCGGGAAGGAATGAAAGGAGGGCATTATGAGGCCGGCCTGGCACCGAGGCTGCAGGAGCATTAGAGACTTCTGTTCACAATGAGCCAACAGTAATTACCGGCAACCACTTGAAATTGAATTGTCCAGAAATCAGGTTGACACTTCAGGTACAGCTGAAGGAAGCAGGTTTCCAGAAAGGACTTCGTTATCTGACTGCTACCAGATGGGTTTTTTGGCGTTTAGTGAATTAATTGTTGACTGCATTGTAAAATCCGGCTCAAATTTGTCTAGTCCATCGTCCAGGTTTACCTGGACTTCAGGTTCTGAGCCAAGTGTCTTTATTGGCCAGCCCCAGGTGAGTCCGTTTTTCACAATTAGACAGGATCTTCTTTCCGATCTGTATCTGAAGTGGGGCCCAGGTTTCCAGGGACCTTTGTGTTGTTAATGGCACAGACAGTGTGACTGGGAGGAAACGAGGGAAAAGGACCATTCACAGCTCAGGAGCCTGGTCATTTCTCCAGGGTCCAGGTCACGTGGTCAGCAGCCTCAGTCATTGGCCTTAACATTGCTTTTTTTTTTTTTTTAGCTTTTTCTACCAACCTTGTGAGTTGGCCTGAGTGTGCCAAAGCCACTTGGGAGGTGTGTCATTTATCCTTGAAAGTCATGGGGCACTTTTTCCATATGTTGTTCATAACATCCCAAAACGGTCAGTAAGCTAACTAACTAGATGCACATAAAACGTATGATGCCGCTAACAAAAATGAAAAACGTCTGCGTTCCTCACTTTACTTTTTCCTAGTCCTAAGTTTAGACACCTTGCAGAGGAAACTATGTTCTGCTGCATGTATTTGTGATTTGATCATTTTTGGTGAGGATGTTGCAACATTGATGATAATGAATGTCCCTTTATTATTATCTGATTTCTCTTTGGCATTTTTATACCAGATCAAGTCTTGGAATTGGGATTAGGTGCAATCCAACCTAGAATCTTCTGCATGGTGGTTGGTAAATCTATCACCACCTTTGTAGTCTTTCAAATATGAATTTCCTGCTTGTCCTTTCACCGGGTCTTGACACCGTGGTAGTCCACTACGTAATATGGTAGAGTTTTTATGCTGGAGGCCCGATCTGATGCAACACCACCTGGGATTGGTGCAATCAAACTGTGGAACTTCTACATGCCTGATAGGAATCTAACCCCTGCACACTTTAAGGACCACCAACTGAGTATTTGTGATACATTTAAAAGGAATCTCCCAAGACATGCAGTACCTATCACTGTCACAACAACACAAGAAATTGACCCTTGGCTACAGGTACTGCAACGAGTGGCTTCGAACTCCTCAACTGCTGTTTTCATCTAATATATTGTTGCGTTCATGAACATCTGGTGTCCAGGCCGGAGGAGACAGATCCTGTTTAGTCTGTCAGTCCAGTTTAAGGCATGACATCCAAACCAGTTCTGACAAAATGACCATGAAACTCAACTGTGATGTTTTTCTCTTCTTCATCGTCTTCTTCTCTGCGGGTGCCCAAAAGGTAGATGGTGATGTCAGCCCTCATCAAACTAACTTTCTTCTATCTTCTAAACACTTTCCAGCACCTAAGAAATAAATGCTCTGAATAGTTCTTACTTTTCCAAGAGCTTTCATCACGAGCCCACCGTCGTCAACTTATGCTTGGACTACTTAGGCTGTTTTTTTTTTACAGTGCATTTATGTGATGCATGTCAACCAGATGTTGCCGTGTCTTTTGCTGTATTAGGAGGATTATTCTCTTTTTTTTTATCTCACAACAGATGAGTCCAATTCATAATTTGGACATTTAATTACACAAAGATGTCAAAGTGATGGCAGATTACATCTATGACTTTGATCTGACATGTTACTGACAGGTGGCAGTAATGTTTTTAAGTAAGTAAAAGTGAAACCATTCAGCACGGAAACTGCTGCTTTGGTGTGACTCCTATAATTTATGGATCTGGGGAGAAACAATTTAAAGTAAGGAGTCAATCGTTGGGTCTGCAGTTAATGCTTCACCCCAGTCTGCAGCAGCCTCCAGACTGTTCATTACCAGGACTGATATAATGCTGCCTCCACCTGCAGCAGCCTCCAGACTGTTCATTACTAGGACTGATATAATGCTGCCTCCTTATTCTCCACATTTAATCAACAATTGCTGTACGCAGGAGTCGGTGTACTGGAGCTGACAGACACCTTCACACTCGTGGGACATGCAGGTGGATAGTACAACACAGTCTATGAACTGCCACTTATTACAGACCTCTGCTAAGTTCTATCACAGACATCTGTGAGCAATCTGAGCTTCTTTTTTCACTGGTCCACTAGCACAAATGCAACACAAACTGGTCATAACATAACCTAAGCATGTTTACCATGTTGAGAGTCTACAGCAAATACACAAAACACATTTTGCCTTGATGGAGCAAACAGTTTTTTTTATATTTAAATTAAACTTAACATCGCATATGCAGACAACCATTCAGACTCACATTCACACCTACGGTTAAAATCTTTACATTTTGCCAGTCTATACCTGTACGTTATACACATTAGTGCTAATTGGCATATTTTAGAATGTTCGTCGATGTTTTGGAGGTGTACAGCTCCACAGAACAGCCTCACTCCACAATTGTTCCTGCCCATTAACTGCTCGGACACATCTCTTTTATGACACAATTCTCAAAGTTAGTGTAAAATCTATAGTCTTCACACCGTACCATTTTACTGGGTAAAAACACAAGGACAGGCCTTATACATTTAATTATATTGATATTATATTAATGTTTTGCTTATAAATGAGTTAAAGTCCTGCCTGCATGTGAGTACACGTCCATCACTGATGCACATTTGTAAAAAGGCCTTGGTTTTAAACCATTAGTCATAATTAAAGAAAACATTATTTTAATGTGTTTGCTGGTCTGCCCAGGTCTGACCTTCTGCTGCTTCACTGATTGAACTGTGTTTCTGTGCCCAGCACATCTGCAGTGAACAAAGCATTTTCCATTTTTCTTTCTTTCGCTCTGTTCCCAGTAGGTCGTCTGGTGTAAGAAGAGAAGGATCCAGAAGCTGAGACAAGAGCAGAGGATAAGAGGGAAAGCATCTGGACGCGTGCTGACAGGAAAAAGTGATGGAGCAAAAAAAAATTAAAAGCAAGAGTTCCTGGGCTGTGTTTCCATGAAAGAAGGGACAAAAATGTATAAAAAAGAAAACAGGCGGCGCCAAAATATTTGCACTTTGTCTTCCCTTTGTTTGAAATGTTTTCCTCTTTGTATGTCTCGTATTTTTCCTGAAGTGACAGAAAAGGTTGTAGGTAAGGATGAGATTATATTTGTGGAGAGACGACGTGAGCAGCTCATCACTGGATCAGTTAACGTGCTCGTGTTCCTAGTTTTCTCCCGTGTACAGTCAGTAATGTTGATGAAGATGTGACGATCAGTATGTATTTCCAGTGTTAGGAATGTGCAGTGAAGAAGAGGCTAATCCGTCATTAGTCCTGGTAGATCCTCTTTCACTTAAAGGCTCCTCTCTGCATAAAGGACTATTTCGGAGCTGTAGAATTGTACCAAGGCTTCTAATTACTTCCTTTTCCCTGCGGTAGAAATGCACACAGTTCCGGGTACTACATCCAGTTCTGTGTCCTAGTTCCTGCAGCACAAACCTGCTAGAATGAAACTGTGATGAGTCTAATAATTCAGTCTGTCAGATTTTTGCTGTGTCAGTCTTCCATGCACTGTTTTTACTTCTTTCATTATCAACCTTCACTCACCTTTTAGTAAAGTCTGTTGTATTTCATGTTGACTTGGAAACAGTGATGGACAAAACTAGCTGTGAATGTGTAATTACTTTACTCTGTACTGCTCCGTGTGACCATCAACTAATGCAATACTATTATATATGTTGTATGTATTTTTGCAGTACTTTCGCTGCACACAGTCCCTTGCTGTTTCCCCACACGTTCAAGAGGATTGTAACAATCAATAAATAAATGAAAACTTTATAAGGAGGAAAATGTCTATGAAAAAGTAAATAGGGACAAATACAGTCCAGAATATTTCTTGGAGTTACATTAGAGACATTGCGTACTTAAAGATACTGCAGTATGTGAGAGTATGTGGAAAGAATTTCTCATACTGATACTTTCAGTTCGTCATCAAAGTTGTACAAAGAGTTAGGACTTAGGTCTTTTTTTTGGTTGAAGCAAAAGTAAAGCTGTATAGTGCGTAATAAAGGAGCAAGTCTTCATAGTGGGTACATTGACGTATGATGGCGGTTACTAACTTCACATCAACCGTGAATATCCACCATCAAGCAGGGGTTTAAACCTGTTTTGTTTTTCATTAAAAGACTAGGTTTGATCATCCCAACGTTGCTGCTCTCATGTTTGATTCCTTCCAGCTTCTTCGGTCTACAGGGCGTGGCCCCGGGGTCAGATCATAGATTGTTGATGTTAACTCCTCAGCTCCTAGCCATCAACTGTCAAATACAGTATGTGGGAATGAAAAAAGCATCTTATTGACATTTATGGGAGTGTTTTTGGAGCAGGCCTACTGGCGTGCCAACCAATGGCGCCCTCACTCAGTTCATCACTGTGAACCAGTCACTTTTCCCTTTCTGTCTGGATGTTGTTTCCACTTACTGCTGGGAAAATATCTACATAATTGTCTTTATCAAGTTTATTCACTGGCTAAGTCTCTGTTTGATACCCTGATAAGAGATGGGAAAATATTTCCTGGTAGTTTTGAAGTCTAATCACAACAACTGAACTATGACCTGTGGGTCAGTGTGTTAGAGTAGTGTGTAATCAGCTTTTTTGGAGCTGTTCTTAGTGCTCTCTTTACATTTTGGCTGCACCCAGAGTGTTGAAGTTTAAACAGAAGATAGGAGAGGAGAGGAGAGGAGACGACTCAATGGTCATTGTACAGCTATACCTGTACACTACCGTGTGTAAGAAGACAGTTATACTGTCATATATATTTTTAATTGTTATTATTGTTGAAGAGCTGTGCAGGTAAACACTGTGCAGTGTGTATAAAAATGAAGGGATCCAGGATCCAGTACTTATAAAACTCAAATAAATGAATGATAATATTAAAGTCTTACATAACAGGAACCTGACAAAGATTAAAGTAACAGAGAGCTGTAAATACAGGGTTGATCACAGATGGATTTCTCAGACTGATTAATTTCCATCATAAAATTCCCATTTATCATCCTTGGTGTTGAAAACCATTCTAGATTTTTTGAATTTATTGTCGTCAAATTAATCCTGCAGGTTTTTCTTTTTCCAAAACAGGCCAGAGTTCAGGAAATTAGTTTGGAATCAGCACCAGGATGAAAAGAGGAATCCAAGCAGTAAATGTCAGATGTTTTTTCAGGACAATATAACTATGAATATCAGGCTGTTACGGCACCAATACTGCTGAATAACCCCACTCTTTAAAACAAGGTGCTGCGTTCATCAATGTCAGTTGCTAAAATAAATATTTGAGTCAGCTTTGTAAGATTACTACAGTACATGCATGTAAACACCGTCAGAGGCTGTCCGCACACAGCTGATGCCAGTCCTGCTCCGTGAGACACTCACACATGCTGCAGCTGCAGCTGACTACCATACAGTACGCACAGCGAAGGTCAAATCTAAAAGAAACTGTGTCTGATCAACAGGAACCTGACTCAACAGGGAAAAACCAAGTTGACTTCTGTGAAAAGTCACTTCTCAGATTTGGAAACATTTGTGTGTCATGAAAGTAGAATTCCAGGTTTTATGGTGAGTTGCGTGTGTTTTTAACGCAACACACAGTCAATATATGTGTAGTTAAAACACTCAGGACTACTCAATTATAAATCCCACTGCTAACACTTCAGACACACAAGTGTTGAATAGTGTGTGGTCTGTGCTGAACAAAATGAACGAACTGTGACAGGAGGACATTTTTTTAACGATTACGGACACTTATGATGTCATGCAATGTCATGTTTATACACTGAGCCCGACCTCCCTCAAAATGACATCAACTTCAACAGACTATTTGGGTTCTTGGGACAGAGTCTCTGAGTCCACATGGACACTACACTTGTGTGTTTCTGCTGAAATGTTTCCAGACATTTTGCAGATCACATCAAGGTTCTGACAGGAACTAACGGGCCAGTAATCACTTCTAATCACGATGGGAGTGGGGGTGGGTTGGTGGGGGTGGTGCATGTCAGACCAACCGCAGGAAGCCAAGACTGTCATGCAGCTCATGGAAAATGATTCCAGTGCAGAGACTCAGAGTGGCTCATCTTGACTTGTTCAAGATGTCTCCTTCGCATTTCTCTTTTCGTAGCAGCAGAAACTGGATCTTCTGGTAAACAGAAGACAGACGTGTGTCGTCTTTGGATGAAACTGATTGATCTGAAACATTTGGTTTGAGGTGCAACTCTTTGGCTCGGCCATAAAATCTAAAATTCTGTCTCCTGTTCTCTTCTTCTTATACCTGCTGTCTTCTTTAAAAGTTATGACCCTGATGACCTTCATGATGTCATCTTCCTCTTTATCTGGGCCTGAGAACGACACTAGGACACAGACCCACTGAGGCTGGAGGTTAAAACATGATTTTCATTCAGAGGTATTTGTATGAAAAGATTGTGTTTCTCTATTTCATTACTGATATCAAAACACAGTTTTATTCAATCATAACATGTGATTGAGACATAGCAGTAGCAGCTAACAAAACTGAAGGCCAGATTCCTAGACACAGAGGAAAGAAAAGTGAGGAAAGTGACGATTACGGACACTTGACACAGCTCACCACTGCACACAACCAACTGTGACCTCTGCTTTTAACCCATCACCAAAGTGAACAGTGGGCAGCTTTAAGCTGCCCAGGGAGCAGTGTGTGGGGACGATGCAATGCTCAGAGCACCTCAGTGGTAACTTGGCAGCTGGTGGACTCGAAACCTATTTTCTTTTCCTAAAAAATTTCCTTCTGGCCTAACAAAGCACTGACTGACACTGTACAAGAGCTCAATTCTGACCCCTAAAGGTTTGGTCAGTTCACTGCAGGCCTGCAGCACTTGATGGTGACACAGCATCAGTCAAGTCAATCAGTTATATTATTATTTGATAAAGCTAAGGTCTATAACCTATGTAAATTAATTGACAAGTGACTGGTGGGAGACAGAGAGTCGACGAAGTGAAGGAGTGTACTCACTCTGGGTTTAGGCTCTGTGTGATGTGAGATGTTCTGATTTACTGACAAGACTTCAAAGGTGCGGATGTTGTCCGTGCACTAAGGAGAGTGAAGGAGGGTGAGGTAGTGGATGGGGGTTAGTTTGGGCGAGTGGGGGTGGGAGGGTAATACAGATGAAATTGGAGCAGAGAGGCAGCTGCAGTACATCTGTCTGTTACCAACACATGTGGCTTTTGACTTCCAGTGTGAAGTTCAAAAGAGCTTTATAATGACGCAGCTGCTTCAGGATGCAAGTGTTGGTGTGTGTGTGTGTGTGTGTGTGTGTGTGTGTGTGTGTGTGTGTGTGTGAGGGGTTGGATGGTAGGTGGGTACGAGCAGAGGGGTTTAATAGGTGAGGATTGGAATGTGGGTCCTGAAAGTGACGTCTGGTAAGAACATGCAGTAAAAACATTTAGAGAGAGATCTATTAATCTATTAAAATATAATTAAGGTGAAAAAATGATTGATTGATCCAAAATCTAAAGGAATTGATCTGATAAAAAAGGTAAATGTTGTCCTGTTAGGACAAACTTAAACTTTGCCAGGCTTGGTCCATCCCAGTCAACTAGGTGAGGATTTGGGGGTGAAAATGTTTCTTCCAAAAAATGACTTGTAACAGAAGGAAAATCTAGACTAACACGCAGAAATATTTGTTTTCAGACGACAGCCGCAGACATCTTCGGACAGAACAGACTAAAAACAAGACAAACCCTGTGTTGTTCCTGTTTAATTAACAGTGTTGAAGGTGTGAGTCTGCAGATGTCCCACACTCGTTTGTCTGACTTCTTTTCTCTGTGCCTTGAAACACTTAGGAACACATCCAACATCATTACAGGTAATTAGAGAGGCCCATTAGCTGGTCAGATAGCTGAACATTAAGGACGCGTGTGTGTGTGTGTGTGTGTGTGTGCGCAGGGGAGGAGAGGGGGTGATAATGTACATGGCTGCCTCAGCAGCACCTGCACAGCAGCCTGACTTCAGGGTCACAAAGGTCAGCTGCCAGGAGGCCAGGGTCCACAGGGTCAAAGGTCATGTTCCAGACAGGCATGTTCACATGCTAACGTAGAAGAAAACACAACTTTACCCAAGCTGTGTGTTTTATGCAGTGATGCATGTGCAGCAGGACGTGTTGTCCTAGTAGCTCCACAGTTCATTGTGCCAATTCACGCTGTATTGTTAGGAGGAATCTGGCCTCACAATACTCACTTTTCTAAAGCCACGTGGCTACAGTGCCACTAATGGCCAGCAGGTGGTGGCGCCAAACAACTTTTGACAAAAATGGCCAACTTTTCACTATTTTTCACATTGGTGTCAATGTCTACATTAAGGCCTGGTGAGAACTATTTTCACAATCCATCAATATACTAAGAATATTTCCAAAATATAAACCACAAAAGTGAAGCAGCACTGATACAATTCACTGGTTAAAAGAGTTCCTCCAACATGTACTCAATGACATAAGCAAGGGCAATACTTTCTTTATTTTTTTATCTTTTTTTCTTCTTTGAAAATCATAATTGTCCATAAAGAACCTCATAATCTCTTTATTTACTCAAAAACAAATAAAAGTTAAACAAAAAAGACAGGAGTAAAGAGGAAGCTAAAAGTAAAAGTCGTTCATATTTTACATCCAAGAATCTGAGGAAATTCCAGTGGATGATAAGAAAATGAAAATGATTAGAAAGTTGCATTAGAACAAGCCATGGGTATAAAAACGCCGAGCGCCCGGTGAGCTATGGAGCCAGAACCCTCCAACAATACCATGACAACACTGTGACAACACCATGGAAGCCCCTAAAATTTGATTTATTTCATGGACACATCTGGTTAATTGGACCATCAGTGGACAGTGAGCAGCGTCCATGAGAACCAGAGGCCCGCGAGATGCTGCCATTCTGACAGGCCTGCCCCAAATTCACCAGTACGGTGTGACTTCATGTGTTCAGTGTGTGAGAGTGTGTGTGCGCGTGGTGTCCAGCAGTGGAGTTTGTATGTTCAGGAAAAATCCCACAGTCGCAGCCTGTCTTTATTTCTAGGATCGAAAAGGACGACAGACGATCAGGAAAACTGGTGAGAACTGAGTAAAATATTGATGACGTTAAGAATGTCGACTGAACTGAATGTAATTGGATAAATGATTAACATTTGGATCATTAACTTAACTAATTATTAACTTAACTCAATTATCTCAGTGTTTGTCTCCGACCGGTACAATTAAGGCCTTGATGTTTATTAATTTATTTGAAATTTAACCTTTACAACAATTAATTTCTTTAAAAGGTAATTTTTCTATTTAATGGATTTGTGACAACATTTCTGCTTCTTTGCACAAGTATTTATGTTTGTTAAGAAATAGTTTAGAAAAAAGAACGCCTGCACACACTGTCTCACAGTTTAACATCTATTTGAAAAGAAAAAAATCTAACTTATCATCATAACATTTAACAATTGTTTTAGTGATCACAGCAGATATTAAAGTTTTCCTAGTTTTACTTCCTGCATCATCATCTCATGCGCTGTGGTTTTGTATTCTTGGTACAGTAAAAAAGATTCCAACAATTTGTATATTAATCCAAACATCATTTGTGTTTTTCCACAGCAGAGGAATTTATTCAGTGGGACGTAAATGCACCTACACCTGGAGGGGCCGACACGTCACTTGGAGCTACAGCGATGGCGTTTCATGAGGTCTGTTTTCTTAGTTTGGCTTTTCTTCACGTGTGCTAACAAAGGAACGCTCACACTCACATGTGGTCATTAACATTCTGGACATCTTGTCAGTGTGTGAAAATATTGCAGTTTCTGTCACCTTTGACCTTTTAAACATAACTATGAGCTTGTGCAAATATATGTACTGTACCAGTAGAAAGCATGTTCATGTGTTCATATTAAAAATACTAATAGTAAACAATGCATTTTATCCATTCATGATTTCATTTTACTCTCTGTGGTTGTAGAATGTAAAAAAAAAGATAATTCCATACCACTGTTTGGTTTCTGCACAGAGCCATTTGACGCCAACACTCTTCACCTCCATCCTGGCAGCCGTGCTGGGATCCTTGCAGATCGGTTACCACACCGGGAACATCAACGCTCCAGCCAGGGTGAGTCGGACACCTGAGACAAGAGACATTGTCTTTATCTTAGTTAGTTAGTACTGATAATAAGATAAGATAATGATCAGGGTTAACAAAACTAAAATTTCTGCACATTAGCCTTTAGCCGTTAGCTGTTGCCATACAAAATTCTCAGCTTTTATACAATATGAATGCAATAAAAATATACAATAATCAATGAAAAATCCAAAAATTGTACAACATTTCTGTGATGTGCCAACATGAGCTTTACAAATGTCATTTTTAAAGTGTATCAGTGTAAATTCTTTTTGCTAGTTTGAGTTCCCTTCAGTAAAAAACAAACCCAATGTGTACAATAACATGACAGTGTATTGCAACATTTTTATGCAGATTTTAGTTCAGTGTTTGTCACTCTCTCTCTACCTGTCCTGGACAGAGGAGTGTCTTTTGAGTGTCTCATCTCCACTTAATATACACTTAAATACAGTTTTGGCTGCAGTACCACTGTTGGCCAGCAGGTGGTAGCTCCAAACAGCCTCTGATAAAGCCAACTTTTCTCATAAAATAGTCAGCGCAACAACAGCCTCTGATAAAGCCAACTTTTCTAGTCAGCGCAATTAATTATCAAAGCTCAGGTTGGTGTCATTGCCCAGATTAAAGTCTTGTTACCAGTGTTTATGCTTTCAGTAGACAAGTGTTTCTAGTGTTGGTGTTCTGTCAGAGCAGACATCATCACAATGAAGGAAGAAAAAGATATTGTTTTGTTTGGAGTTGAAGGAAAGGTTAAAATCCTGTTGGTCTCTTCAGAAATATCTCACCATCTCAATAAAACGCTGAGTAAACCTAACAGTGGACTGAACCTGCAGTAATCCGCTCCAGGTCTGGTTCCCTGACAGCAGGACTTCTTATTCAAACACTGACCAGACAGATATTAAACAGAGGAGTTCAGTCTGACTCCACCTTCAACAAGCCCTGAATACTACACAGAAGAGTGTTTGTAAAATACTAAAACAAACATAAAGGTATATGAGTAATAAAATGTGTTTAGACATTTTAACATACAGGTCTGTTTATTACATGATTTTTTATTTTATTTTTAATAAATAACATCCCATTTGCTTTGAATTTAAATTTTTTTTTTTATCTACTTATTGTTGCTATAAGAAAAACTTTTAATTAACCTACCAACTGATATTCCTCACTGTGCTGCAACTATGAACAGAATAGTTTTAGGTAATCTTTAGTCGATTAAACTCAATTACCAATTATTAACTGTGATTAGTTCAGGTACCTAATTTTCTTTTTGACAATTATTTTCCAGATTATTGAAGAGTTCTTCAACCACACCTGGAGAGACAGACACAACCAGACGATTTCAGATCACAGTCTGACTCTCCTGTGGTCACTTTCAGTCAGCATTAAAGACTTTGGAGCCTTGCTGGGGTCACTGGGCGTCAAATACGTGGCAGATTCGTACGGAAGGTAGAAAATAATGGAGTCAAATCTGTCTTCTGGATTATTATTCGTGCAACATATTCATTTTTCACCTCCCCTGCAGGCGCAACTCCATCCTGATAGTGAACAGTCTTTCCATGGTGGGGGCATGTTTGATGTTTGCGTCCAAGGCCAGCAGGTCATTTGAGGTTCTCATCCTAGGGCGCTTGGTGTTTGGCCTGTTCTGTGGGCTGGTGATGAGTCTGAATCCACTCTACATCCAAGAAGTCTCCCCCACTGATCTGAGAGGGGCCTTTGCTACACTCAACCAGGTTTCCTTTGCCACAGGAATATTGGTGGGAATGGTGAGGATGAGTGGGATTTGAACCATTTTCTGTAGAATTGCATTTAATGTCGTTTTAAAACGAAGTATAACCATCTTGACTATCAATATGCTGTGCATGATGGCATTCATTTTCTATGAAAACTTTGGATACTACTTAAAAATTCTCTATGAAAACTTTGGATACTACTTAAAACTCACAATTCCTTATATGCTGCAGGTGGCTGGTCTGGAGTCAGCCCTTGGCACAGAGCACTACTGGGCCATGATGCTGTCCCTGTCTCTGATCCCAGCCCTGATTCAGTACCTGGTCCTGCCATTCTGCCCTGAGAGCCCACGATATTTGCTTATAAACAAAGGGGAGATGAGCAAGGCAGAGGCAGGTGGGTATCACTGTCACTGGCATTATACTGGATCAGGTACCTGGGGACCAGATTTCAGAAAATCGGGTATCAGAGAGCTGAAGATCAGATACCTGAACAGTATAGATCCTGTATAAGAAACAAGTGACCTATAAATATCTCATCAGACATCCACCAATGGTGGGAGTGAATATAAGCAACTCCCAATTATCCAGTAGCCTAGCAATACTTATATAACTCCAGATGGTAATGTTAACAAACTATGAACCAACTAGAAATCCAACTAGCATCCTGGGGCTGTAGATGTGCCGCAGCAGTTTATTCCCATTCTGACCCTGCAGCTCTGCTGAGACTGAGAGGCAGTAGTGACAAAGTGTTCGCTGAGCTGGAGGAAATGAAAGAAGAAGCCGCTCACACTCAGAGCGGAGTAACCATCCATGAGTTCTTCAAGAAACGCAGCTACAGGCAGCCAATCATCATCGTCCTCATCGTCAACCTAGGCAGCCAGCTGTCTGGATTCAACGCGGTGAGTTGTACACAATAAATAATATTTCTGTCAAAAAATACTTTACTGAAAGATTTAAGAGCAGGCCCCGGTGGAAATAAACATTTGATTTAGTGATACCCCAACACCTTGTTTTCTTTCAGATCATCAATTACTCAACCAGAATGTTTCAGGCCAAGTTTGATGAAGCCAAATACCTGACTCTGGGCGTGGGTGCTGTCAATGTGACTTTCACCTTGGTAGCAGTAAGTCAAAGCTCTTTTATCAGGTGGTGAAAACATGATTTAGGTGATTATTATTTTGGCTGCTCAGCACTTGGGTCAACAAACCCTAAATCAGCTTGAAATACAAGTGAAGTAATATTTTATTGCTTTTACCACAACCTTTCACTCAATTTGTGACCCAAGTGCTGTCAGCATTTCCCCCTGAACACTTTTACAGCTTGGACCACCACCACTTTAGTTCAGAAAGTTATTCAGAGCTAAAGTCAGCGTTGTGTTGTTCTTTCGTCCCCAGTTCTTCCTGATGGAGAGGGCAGGGAGGAGAAGGCTGCTCCTCACTGGGTTCATCTCCATAGCTGTGTGCAACCTATTAATGACCATCGTGGACTCTGTCCTGGTAAGATCATTTCATTTGGTGCAACTTTTGACAGGCAATAACATTTGTCTTTAACTTGAACGGGTCCAATCCTGGAAATTGAAAAATATTTTCAAATTCCAGAGAAATGTTTGTGGTTCCTAAAAAATGTCACACAATGATACATTTTCTGTAAATAAGCAGATAACATAAACAATGAGGTAAACAATGAGACTAAAGCCAGTTCATTACGTTTTCATCTACATTTCAAGACTAACTTGATAGTTCATTGTTCAGTGCCTGGCTCCAGGACTTCGAAGCATCCAGGTCCTGCTGGTTTTCTGCCTGATTTCAGCCTACGAACTGGGCCCTGGACCTATCTCTTGGTTCATCGCAGCTGAGCTGTTTGACCAGCCCAGCAGACCCATTGCTATGGCCTTCACCAGCATGCTGAACTGGGGAGGGAAGTTTGTCCTGGCACTGCTCTTCCCTCCTTTACTGGTAGGTTTAATTGCCTTCCCTCACTACCAACTCCCATTTTGGGGCAACTAACAATTTGGGCCCAGAGCTCAAGAAACTGGTCAAAAACTGCAGCGCTGGTTGTTTCCAATTATTGTCATTTTGTTCCGCTTAAATGAATAATTATTATTAATTCATATTAATTAGCAACCATTCTATGCTTGTATTCAACTTCTGATACTAAAATCTCCACCACTGCACCTTTCTTATCTGCAAATTTTCACATTTTGATTGATTTCTGGGAATTCTCATTTGAAGGAAAATGCACTGCAGGTTTTTAATAAAGTCCAGAATAATAATCAAGTCGTGGCTTACTGCTGTAGGAGTTATGCTGTGCTGCGTAACATACTATCATGGATTACATACTGTATATTCTCCCTGTCCCTGATATTCCCATAACATCATTTCCCAAGTTTTTGTTTGTGCCAAATAGTTTGTGTAAATAGAGTTAGGGTCTCAGACTCCGGTCCTCAGCTTGTTTCTGGTCAAGAAATGTTTGCTTTGTTTTGTTTTTTGATGAAAATTGTTCTGTTTTTTCTTTCTTTAACTTTTAGAAAATCTGTGGCGAGTACGTCTACCTCCTGTTCATGGCTGTGGCTCTGACGGCCTTCACCTTCACCTGGATTCGTCTGCCTGAGACTAAAGGTCGCACCTTTGATGATATTGCAGAAGAGTTCAGAGGAGCAGAGGGGATTCCTCTGCACAACAAAGCTGGGTTTAACACTTTCAACTAAACTTTGGCTTCATGGTACAGTTACAGGGTCAGTTTATTCTATTGATGAAAAGAAGGTGCAGAAATATACCTGTAAACCTGACATTTGACTGAGGGCTTTGTTGTTTTTGTTCTTTTTTTTCCCCCTTTCTTTTCTGATTTAAGTGTTTGTTTCTGATGTCTTTCAAATTTACTCAACTTAAGTGACAGTAGCTACACGCTCACATTAACTTTTTTCAAAGACTGAGTAAAGAAAATAACTGTCTAACCAACAAAAAGGCCGAATTAAAGGCCATGGTTGACTTCAGAACTCATGAAAAATATGGATATTTTACAATAAACTAATGTATGTATGCTTTACTGTTTTATAGTAGACTTATAAAAAGCAAATCATCAGTCAAATGTCTGACCTCAGACTTCAGCTGTTCTGTTTCACAGCAGTCAAAAATAATTCTGAAACAAATGTGTCCTTTTCTGAGCCAAATGAACCTTAAAAACATAGATGGTAGTAAACCATGTGTCCTACATCTAGGACTAGAACGTTTTATTTGAAAGTTGGATTTCTGCTGTGGTGCACAACATTATTTTCTTGTGTGTAAACTTGTGTAAAAAGGTTTTCAGGATGTTCAGAAAATTGGATTTTGTCCAAACTATGTTACAACAATGAAATTATCATTCAATCATAGTACTTTTATCTTTAGTTGTAGATAAATATTCACTAGAACACCAGTTCCTTGTGAACTCCTTACAGACAAAGGGTTTTACAAAGGTTTTATGGTTAAATTGTCATTCCTTTGATGTTTTTTTTTTAAACTAAAGAGGAATCTGGTATGTAATGTATATCCAAACCTGAATAAAGTGAACTGTAAAGTGAAAGTACACAAACATACATCCTTGAAACAGACTCTTTCTCCATTGATTTTCTCTGGTGAAATTATTTCAGTCTCCTGCACAACCGCAAAATTCCTGTTCATTATCGTTCTGTGAAATCTGACATATCTCCAAACTGTGTGCAAAAGTTGAAGGTCCGTAAAAAACCAACCACAGCTGTGGAAATAAATCTTCCATTTACTATAACATTTACTACAGTGGTTTAAAGAAACCACAGAGGAGCAGGCAGCAGGAAGTGAAATTAACCTGCTGCTTAAAAGTGTAGCTACTTGGCTTTGCGTTATGCAAGTGTGAAAATGTTGCCATCTACTGGACATAAACTAAATCTGTATTTCTTAAGTAAACATCCTTAGCTGATACAGTTCACTAACGATTGTCAACATTTACCGTTTAAAATTAAGCATTATTAATAGCGCTGTCAATAGGTTAAAAATTGAGAGATTAATTAATTATGATCTGGTAAGCAAAATTCTTCTTACAATGAAGGCCTATCACTCTGCCTTTGGTGCCATTGGGACGTTTTTGAAATGTAAATTGTGTGTGTGTGTGTATACATATATATATTACTGCTATCCAGTGCCCGAAAACAACCTATTTTCCACAACAACATTGAAAAATTGCATTTTAATATGCCTTAATGTACGTATGTATGCCCTAATGTATATGGCAATGCTTCATTTATGTAGTAGAAAAAATGTTTCTGATAAGAATTATTTTATCACAGACCATTTTTGCCATTTTCTGATTTTACATTTTAAGTGTGGCAACCTGCAGTGTTTTTCTTAAAAGCAGGGGGCGACAAATCACAAAAGATTCAACAAACGTCTACATGACAGCCCATGGTGCTATGGATATGGAGCTATAAAACAAGACTCTTCCCCATTGTATTAGTAGAGTGAAAATGTTCATTCCAGAACAAACACATCATGATGTTAAAGCTCCAAACTATCAACACCGAAAATTCCTGTTCATTATCGTTCTGTGAAATCTGACATATCTCCAAACTGTGTGCAAAAGTTGAAGGTCCGTAAAAAACCAACCACAGCTGTGGAAATAAATCTTCCATTTACTATAACATTTACTACAGTGGTTTAAAGAAACCACAGAGGAGCAGGCAGCAGGAAGTGAAATTAACCTGCTGCTTAAAAGTGTAGCTACTTGGCTTTGCGTTATGCAAGTGTGAAAATGTTGCCATCTACTGGACATAAACTAAATCTGTATTTCTTAAGTAAACATCCTTAGCTGATACAGTTCACTAACGATTGTCAACATTTACCGTTTAAAATTAAGCATTATTAATAGCGCTGTCAATAGGTTAAAAATTGAGAGATTAATTAATTATGATCTGGTAAGCAAAATTCTTCTTACAATGAAGGCCTATCACTCTGCCTTTGGTGCCATTGGGACGTTTTTGAAATGTAAATTGTGTGTGTGTGTGTATACATATATATATTACTGCTATCCAGTGCCCGAAAACAACCTATTTTCCACAACAACATTGAAAAATTGCATTTTAATATGCCTTAATGTACGTATGTATGCCCTAATGTATATGGCAATGCTTCATTTATGTAGTAGAAAAAATGTTTCTGATAAGAATTATTTTATCACAGACCATTTTTGCCATTTTCTGATTTTACATTTTAAGTGTGGCAACCTGCAGTGTTTTTCTTAAAAGCAGGGGGCGACAAATCACAAAAGATTCAACAAACGTCTACATGACAGCCCATGGTGCTATGGATATGGAGCTATAAAACAAGACTCTTCCCCATTGTATTAGTAGAGTGAAAATGTTCATTCCAGAACAAACACATCATGATGTTAAAGCTCCAAACTATCAACACCGCTTCTTCAACATGATCTTTGTAGTTTTTATATGCTGTTTACTTGAATTTCCAGGAAGTACTGGTAAGAAAAACTAGACAAAATCAAAAGTGTGATATTAAAGATTTTCTGTGTTTAAATGTATCTTCTTTTGTAGGTGCCTCTGACAAACGTGTCATCCAATCACCTTTTTTCATCACTAAGGGAAATGGAGAGTCTGTGGAAAGAGAAATCAACTGTTCCCACAGCATTCCTAGTTATGACACCATTCTTTGGTACAAACAGGACAAACGTGACTTAATATTCCTGGGTTACATTACTGCGACGTTTCAAAGTGTGGAGGTGAATCTTCGGGGAAAAGTCAATTTCCATGGAGCTGGAAGCAGACACGCCAGCCTCACTATCAAAGAGCTTTCTGTCAACGACAGTGCTGTGTATTTCTGTGCAGCTAGTCAGCACAGTGCAGCAGAGTCTCTAAAAGTCTATACCAAAACCCACAACTTAATATCAGACTCACAGACTTGAACACCTGCACACATCTGAACCAACATTAGAGAGAGGATTTGAGAAAAAAGGTTTTACATATAGACTTGAATATTATATTTCACTAAGCCCTGGTAATTAAATATGAAAAGGGAGACTTATCTCCTTCTGTAGGTGCCTCTGACAAACATGTCGTCCATTTCTTTCTAAACTGCAGGTCAAATAAAGGCATTTTTAATTCTAATCTCATTGCCACCATTCTTTAAAGATAATTTTCATATAACATATTTTTTCATATAACAAGTTTTATTCTAAACGAATACTCTGACTGCTTCTTGTATCATCTCCAGGAATAAATAAAATATATTTACATTTGGTTTTGTCCAATGCTTCTGTGTACTTCACTGCAGCCTCAGACATCTACCATAGTGACATTTAGGGTAAATAGTACAAAAAATGATAATGAGTTCATAGCAGAGACGAGTCTTACACTCCTCCCACTAACAGCAGTGACGCCCAACTATTCAGAAGACGTCACACGTGACAATAAAGACATCATGATATTTGGGCTTCTTTAGATTTACTAAGATTTACTTGTACAACATTGGACTGTCCAGAATCAGACTAACTTCAGGATTAGCTCATTCTCATTCGGTTTGACATCGAGTGCAGAGTCACTACAGCTGTGTGCAAGGACTGAAAAAGTATCAGTCAGATCATGGATGTAATAATCATCGTTAAACAGCAGCAGCTGCCCAGACTCATCATCTGTTTACTGTTGTCTTCAGGTAACATTCAGTCTCATTGTCTAAGACAGAGACTCAAATGTTCTGTGAACTATTCAGTTTGTTATTGTAATTAACTCAGGTTTATTGGATGGAGCTGATGTCAACCAACCGTCCATGATGTGGAGAAACAAGGATGACAACACAACCCTTCACTGCAACCACACCAAGGGTGCTGATTACTTTCAAATGTACTGGTATAGACAGCTGCCCGGAGAAACCATAAAGCTCATCGTCTTCACAACGTCTGTCAACAAAAATTATGACTTTGGCAAATTTAGCAAAGACAAGTTTGCAGCCGACAGGCCTGATGTTTTCAGGGGAACGTTGACGGTGAATAACTTGCAACCTGGAGATGAAGGCTTGTATTTCTGTGCTGTGAGTAAACACAGTGGTACAGGGAAACGTGGGCACAAAACAAAAAGCTGGTGTCTTGTATAAAATGAAGGTAAATAAATAAATAAATAAATAAAAAGTGCAGGTCCTGCAGAGGGCGCTCTAACATCACACAATGTCCCACTCAAATTCTCATCTTATTAAATACTCTTTTCTCAGAGAAACGTAAGCTTCAGACTGTTCTATCCCACGATTTTTTTTTTTACACCTGCAGTATGAATATAGCTCCGACAATAACGCAGGTGTTTGGTGTAGAACTTTGACACCTCCCCTCTCTGTTTTACACTTACTGTGTTTACATCCACTCCCTTCTAACGAATGGAGAGAGGAGCTGCTGATGTTGAAGATGATTTCTGTGCTCTTTATTGTCTACTTTCTTCAGTTTCCGAACAGTGAAGGTGAGTTGTTGACCCAAAAGAAACACCCTGAACTACTGGAAGTTCCATGTCTTTATTTTAATCTGTGTTTCCACAGGTGTCTCTGACACCAAAACTGTCATCCAAACACCTGGCCACATCGTGAAGAGGCCTGAGGAATCCGTTGACAGGGAGATCAACTGTTCACACAACATTCCAAACCATGACTACATTCTCTGGTACAAACAGGAGGAAAACAAATCCCTGAAGTACCTGGGGTTTCTCAACCGGAAATATGAGACCGTAGAGAGCGATTTGTCGGGAAAAATTCACATCACTGGCGATGGCAATGAAAAGTCAGAGCTGACTATTTATAACTTGTTCTTGAACGACAGTGGTGTATACTTCTGTGCAGCTCGTCAACACGGTGCTGCAGAATCCCAGCCAGCCAATACAAAATACTCAAGTTAAAGTGAAAAAAAAAAAACAACAGGGTTTCAAACAGGAGCAGCTGCAATCTTTTTATCTGCTTCTTCTCTGAACTTCAACCTCAAAGCAGACGTGTTGAAGAAGCCGACCACAGTACACCACCCAGTTCATAGTAAGGAGGTATAACTGACTGTTTATGTCAGGACAAACATAATCATTGTTCATAAATGTTTTATGTCATGTCGTATAATTCAATTTAAATAAAGTATGTATATCATGAACACTGCAAGGTTTTTACACAGGCGTCCATGCGCTGAACAGAAAGCCTTTAGTCAGCTGATCATACTGTCATACTGCTGCACCATACCACAGCCATTAGCATATGAATTATATGAAACAAACCGTATCTGTCAAAAACTGTCTTCGTCCTGCTAAAAAAAATTTTGAGAAAGAAAAATGTCTACTTTCAATTACAGATTCAGTAATTGAATACATTGAATACATGAATGGAATACACCAATACTGATGAACCAAAACTCTGCTGAGTTCTGCTGATGAAGCAACCAAATAGTCATAATGGCATGTATTTGATTTAGCTCTAGTGCTCATTTTTGTTGTGGACTAGTAAGGAAGAAAAATATTGTTTTGGGTTTCAGTCCAGGGCCAAGGAATTAGCTGACTTTTCCTTCCTCACACTTCCTGGTCTGTGCTCATTTCAGGCATTACTGCCTTAAAGGAACTTTGTGTTGGTGATAGAAGGCATGGTTCAACCACCCAGTCCAACCATGCCTACTGGACGATCCTAGAGTCAAACCATTCTTAAAGTCACGGCGCCCCCCTGCCCGTCTTTGTACAATAGTAATGTTAGTAGTGTTACAGTGTGAGTACTGTAAGACAGTACTCATTCTTCTACCGGTTTGTAAAAACAGTACTGAGATAACTTTGCTTAATAGTATCAAACAAATAATATAAAGATATTCAAATTAGCAAATGCTAAAAAGTAATTGAAAGATATGTAAAATCTACAACACAAAACGTTTTTGAACGCAAAGTAGCTTAAACATTTATAGTTACATAAGGAATAAATGGACACAATTAGCTCAAAGCTACCCACGAACAGAACTAATGTCATTCATAAATTAACCTGAAGATAAGCCAAAAAAAGTTTCGTATATTTAAAAAAAAAATTCTAGTCAACAAAGAAGCCTCTCGTAATAACCTTCAAGTTAAAACAAAAACAGCAGAAAAAATGTTTATAATAATAAATTGAACTTCATTAATCCCACTCTTGTGTTAACAGCAGGTCTGCTGCAACAGGCTGCCCCTGGGAGGCGCCAAGAATGTGGCTCCTCTGGGAATCAAACACAGGACTCACACATCTGCACTCTGCTTCTGAGCCAGGCGTGGTAACCACTTTACAGAACAACAGAAAATGACTGAAATGATCCTGGTTAAAACAGCTGTGGTGTGGAAATATGACACTCCCATTGTAAGCGAGGTGTGTTTTCACCCTGAGAATCATCATCATGCTCATCATCACTGACAGGAAGACAGAAGCTGCTGTGAAGAGTCTGGGTCTGTTCAACATGATCTTCACACTTTTACCATTCTGGTTCCTATGTTTTCCCAGAGTTAAAGGTGGGTTTAAGATATTGAGGATTGTACATAATCAAAAAGTGGATGATTCCTCTTTTCCTCTAATTATGATCTTTTTTTTGGATCACAGGTTCTGCTGACAACAATGTCATTCAAACACCTGCTTTCATCATTAAGAGACATGGGGAAACTGTGAACAGTGAGATTCACTGTTCACACACAGTGTCATATTTTGAAGTCATTCTGTGGTACAAACAGGACGAACACAACAGTCTGAAATACCTGGAATATCTAAACCGACAATTCCCAACCATTGGGAGCGACATGGAGGGAAAAATCACCTTAAAAGGCGATGGCAGTAAATATTGCACTCTCACAGTTTCAAAACTGTTATTCAATGACAGTGGTGTTTACTTCTGTGCAGCAAGTCGACAGTGATGCAAAGTCTCATCCAGTCAATACAACAACTTTCCAGCTAAGAGCAGACAGAGACCAGCTGCTCTGACTGACTCTGACCCCCAACCTCAAACCAAACCTGCAGATATTATCCACTGCTGTGAACAGCTACAGCCCAACCACGTCACACTACTCAACACATACAGAATACAATTTCAGTCTGAAGTAACAGAGATTAGGTCTAAAACTGTGTATGTTTCTTAGACTACAGCATTAAAACAAAGATGTTAAACCTGTTGTGAAAGAAAAATAACTAATACAATAGGACAATAGACGAGGATGTTTCACAACGATTATTCAATTAATTTCTTTAAAAAAGACTTTGGTGGAAATTAAAATACTTTTTGTGGAAATGTATGCCAGTTTGTGTGTATTCATGTGCATGTGTGTAAAATAATGTGATGTCCACACTGTCACAGACTGAAAACATCTAAACTGAAGCATTTCCTTCATCAAGTGGCAAACTATCAAATTGTTTTTGCCAGTGAAGACATAAGTGACCTGCAGGGGGAAGCAAAGCGCCACAAAGGCTCATGTTAAATGTGTCACAACATGATCTTGACTGCTTATTTCCCTGACCAACAGACCATGAACATGATCTCTATCCAAAAACAACTAAACGCTCAACTGTCAGTGTTTTTGTTTCTGTGGATAACAGGTAACGTTGATAAAACTTTGTATTTTATTGTAAATTATCAACCCTGTTTATATTGTAATGTCTCTTTAACTGCAGCCTAATATGTTGATTTTATTTGACCAAAAATGTAAAAACAACATACAGTTCTCACTGAGGGCAACGATGTCATCCAGACTCCCATACCGTGGACAGATGAGGGCAAGAATGCGACAATGCACTGCAGCCACACCAAGGGTGCGCTATATCTCCAGATGTACTGGTTCCAACAGCTGCCAGGAGAAGCAATGAAACAAATAGTGTTCACGCAAGTAAATATAAAACCCGACTATGAGCCGAACTTCAGCGAGGAGAAATTCTCTGTCAATAAACCTGACGCTGAGAGTGGGACACTGACAGTGATGAAGGTGAAGAAGACAGACGAAGGCCTGTACTTCTGTGGAGTTGCTCAACACAGTGATAAAACCACACACGGCAGATTAACAAAAACCCCAGCACAGCATCACAACTGTACAAACCTTTCTACCCTGACTGAGGGGGAAACCGCCGCATCCCAGAATGCACAATAAATTATATTTGTCCTTGCCTAAAAAATACCAATTCATATTTCAGCTTAGTGAGGTATTGTTTTAGAATACACAAGTTGTTTGAAAGGAAATGTGAGAAAATAGAATAAGATTTCAAAAATAATACACAGAGAGGTCTTTTTGGAATCTTAAATAAAGCATAAGGAAAGCTTTCTAAAGGTTTGATGCTTGGTTTTTCTCCATGGCAAATACAGTTGATGTTAGAACAACATAATGCAGGTTCTGGAAGTCACCAGAATCTGAAGAGCCAGTGTTAAGGACACACAACCAAATGTGTTTTCTCATGATCGGTAATCTTCATGATCCAACTTTATCCACAGTGACTTACTGAAGGAATATGTCAGTAGGGGGCACTCTAGCATCATTTAAGCTCAGTGTAAGAATGAGGATCAACACGGAGCTTTAATGCAGCTGCAGGATCAAACCAGATAAAATGCAGCTACGACTGCAGTCCACAACTGCTTATATCTCAACTGCACCCACTGTTATTGTACGGTGCGTTGACTTTGACAACATTCATGGATAAACAGAGTTGCATCAGCGTTGTCATACTTCTGCTTTGGACAAAAGGTGAATTTAACACTAATTTTACAAATTCATGCTTTTATAGATCTGGTTTTAGGTTTGAAATCATTAATATTCATCTGTAATCAACAGGCTTCACTGATGGGAGTTATGTTACACAAACTTCAATTCTGTGGAAAAACAACAGTGACAATGCAACCATGCATTGCAACCAATCCAAGGGTTCGGATTACTACCAAATGTACTGGTTCAGGCAACTTCCAGGAAAAACCATGGAGCTCATTGTGTTAACAATGAGCACAACGAAAGAGCATGACTTTGGAAAATTCAGTAAAGTGAAGTTTTCAGCTGAAAAGCCTGATGCTTTCAGCGGGTCCTTCACCGTGAAGACCTTGGAGGCTGGAGATACAGGGCTGTACTTCTGTGCTGCTAGTCAACACAGTGACACACTCACACAGACAGGCTGAACAAAAACTCTTCAGACCTGCTGTACAATAAGGTGACACTGCTCTATTAGTAACGGCTCACGGGCAGTGTGTAGGTGTGAGCTGGAATCAAACCACAGTTAGGACACCATTTATTAAACGTAAGGAAATTATCAACAAACATGTGCCGGCTAGCTACACACTAGCTTGAGGAGCAGAGCAGGTTGATAACAGGTGCAAAACGCCAGGTTAACACAGATTACAGGTTATGACGTCGTGCAGCTGTTACATAAGTTGCATTGAGGTACCATCGGAAATTATGATTCAGGACAAATGGCTATACAGTGGAAAAAAATTTGATTCAGGACAAATGGCTATACAGTGGAGCCTCTCTATATTGCGGTTCTTCTTTCGCTCCCTCAGTACATTGTGGATTATCTGATGGATACAAAAAAAACATTTTCTAACCTTGTTTACCTAGAGGAAATCAAACAACATTGAGCAAGCTCTTCTGTTCCTCATGCTGATTGGCTCATGCATCGTAGTATCTCTCAGCATCTCCCCTTGTCTGTCCTCCACTTACATAGTACATTGCTGTAAAGTTTATGCTCTTGTTTGGTGAGAGTTGACCCTAATTTAATGCCCTTCGATGCCTCCTAAACCCTCTGATCATCTTCTCAGGCTTCTGTTACTAAGCCCAAACAAAGACGCTGATACAGATGACAGTTAACAACCTTTATTTTCCTGAGTGAGAAAAATTAGCAAGACAAAAAGAAAAATTAACAAATGAAAAAATAACAGATTCACAGAACTGTAAACTGACACTTAATGCTTAGTTGAAAACATAACTTTTCGCAGTAATAAAATACTTTTGCTTATTTTTAATAACCCAGTTGTGCTGTAATACACATCTTTTGAGGCAGAGGATATAAAATACCATCCTACAAACAAATACTTTGATTTCCTGTATGGTCACAGAGACAGCTCAGAAAATGAAAGTCACCCTACCAGAAGAACACCAACCATAAAGGACAAGCTCATCCCAGTCTTCTGCATTATCTTTTACTGTACACCGGTCTCAGGTAAAACTACAGGCTTTATTCATCGAATGTATGCTATAATAAAATGTATCACAAACAATTTGTTTTTATTCAGTATCACCGACAGAGCTGATCTCAAGACGATGCTCCGAGTGTAAACAGTTCCAGGAGTTCTTTCTGTTCCTATTCCTCCAGGTTTGTCCCTGAGTAACACGGTGACACAGATCCCAGGTCACATGTACAGAAGGAAATCAGAAACAGTTTAAATCACCTGTCCACACTGCACTGATGGTTGCGACGGACAGCTGAACCTCCTAGGATATATGATAGAAAACAGATCTGCACTTCAACCTTAGAAACACTGGGGCAGCACAGCAGTGCAGTTTACTTCTGTGCTGCTTGTCATAAATCACTGCTCCTCAGTACAAAAACCTCAACCTTGCACAATACACCGACTGCTGCACTTTACAGTCATTAGGTGGCAGTATACCATTAAATACCTACATTATGTCAGTGAAGGAGTAGTTACTATCAAACCACAAATCAACTGCTTTACTCCTCTTGTATCCTTTAGGAGGTTGGAAATGTGTAACTGCAGTTACACAGAAAAGATTGCAGTTACAGCAGTAACAGTCGACCAACCTACAGAAAAAAGAAAATGATTTTCCTGTTTCCTTTAGTTTTTGGTGTGAACCTTTTTCACATTCTGGTTTCAGGTAAACTCACAAAAATATATGTTGTGGACTTCATTTCCAAAAGTTTTATTTAATTGTATCAAGTGAACCATTGTTATTTGTTTGTTACTAAAATTTGTCTGAAAACACTGTTTAAGCTCATGTCTTGTTTTTTTTCTCCACAGGTTCCTCTCTAAGTGATAAAGTGCACCAGACTCCAGCTGACATGTACAAGAACAAAGACAAAAATGAAACTGCTGAAATCATCTGTTCACA